AACTACTATTTTCAACCTTTTTGTCTGTTAAATATTGAGTGATAATGTTTTACTCCCCAATCGACACAATTAAGAGTGAGACCATACTCACGAGGCTAGCTGAGGCGGAGTGGGTGGATGGCAGGTGCTCTGGTGTGGTCTGCTTCTTCTTTCCTATCAAACATCTATCGTCCTAATCACTCCTTTTTTGTGTTTGTTGCTCCCTTGTAACACCTCTAATCTGCAACACTTATATGACCTTATTGTGTTGCAAGTGCCGTAAAACTTTTACTAAAACAAAAGCAGAGCGAGACACCATGCTCCAGTAGAAAAAAGACGGAGAAAAAACCCCACAGGAATGGAATCCACTCTTTTAAAAAAAAGAATAGCAATTAATTAATCATTTGTGAGGCAGCGTGGTGGAATCAGGCTCTCGTCAAAATAATCAAAGTGAAGAAACTTGCATTTTTCCACAGGTTTGTGAATTTTCATCAAATGTTTGTTTTTTGGTTCAACACCTTTCATGCCCATTAAAGAACTAATTTCTGTGTGGATTTTTCTTTAAAAAAACGTAGATTAAAGGTACCAAAAAAAAGTAAATTTTCAGTTACCACGGACTCTTTAGCTAAGGAAATAACTAATCTTCGGCAGCCATTTACTCACTAATTTTACCTCTGAAAACAGGTGACCCCCCACCTCTTTCATTTGCAAATATCTCGACTTGTATTCAAGATAAATGGATATTTTTTTCCATCCAAATAAAGACAACTGAACAAGCTTTAAGATGATACCAATAACCCTACATGCCCAAAAATTGACGAGAGCCTGATTCCACCACGCTGCCTCACATTTGGGCTCTCGCAGTCTAGAGGTTCGGTGCTCCCCTCTCAACTCATTCAAAAGGTTCCGCGATCGATGGCGAAGAAATAAAAATTCTGCTCTGAAATGTTCTCCGTTCACATCCCTTCCTATTCTCTAGTCCGTCTGTCACCTGCTTTGCTTACGTCTCCACTTTCTTCCAAAATGGATAGACACTATTTTCTATGCAAAGATTGTCTATAGAAGTTATTACACCTTTACTTGAGAGCTGAATCAAAACGGATTTATCAGTGCTGGTTGGTTTTGTGGTGTGCTTCTCTTAAATAGAGGAGAACACATTTTACAAGTGAATAAGGTACATGTATCTTGTATATACATTATTATTATCATACAACACATTTAGGGAAATAATTTTAGACAAAGATGGCTAATCACAAAAACGACGGGTGGATTTCAAAAGAGTATAAATTGAAAAATGGTGGATATAAACGATATTTGATTCAATCTCAGCAAAATCCACGAGTCTGACTACACATTTTCAACAAAGGAGATTTTGCAAGAGTCAAGTTACAGCCAATGCGTTAACTGCCTTTCACTCCCCCCCCCCCCCCCCCCCCACTAACACACACACACACACACATACAGGCACTCTACAGAAATAGTAATTTTACAAAATACTATACTTCAGTTTCTGCCCGTGAGATGCGTTATACCTTCTTAAGTTTTTAGTTTTTAAGTAGAGGTTTTACGGCAACAGCATAAAGTTATATGAGCGCCAGAAGATTAGAGATGTTACAAGGGAGTAACAAACATAAAAAAGAAGGAGGTGAGATAAGGGCGATAGATCTTTGATAGGAAAGAAGAAGCAAACCACACCTGACCACCCGCTAACCACCCACGTTATGCGGTTTGCCTGACTAAATTCTGAGACGAACATTCGAGAGACGGACGTATCTTCACCACTGACAGTAATCAGGTTTAACCTAAAGGAGAACACGCGCTAAGGTAAAAGTAAAAAGGGTGATTCAAAATTGAAACTGACAATAAAAATTCGAATATATGTCGTTTTTCGGTGGTGTGGGTGTGTATTTGTTGTATGTGTGTGTGTGTGTGTGTGTGTGTGTGTGTGTGTGTGTGTGTGTGTGTGTGTGTGTGTATGTGTGAGAGAGAGAGAGAGAGGGAGAGAGAGAGAGTGTGTGCGTTTTGGGGGAGAAGCCTGGGGGTGATGTACTTTCATTAGGTAGGTTAGTAGTCTGTGCTGAGTGCTGAGAGTTCACTTGAAGTAGGCATATCAATAGATTACACATTTTATTAGAAAAATAAAATCCCACCCAAAAAAAAAATAGTTTCGCTGCACTCTTAGGAATCTTATAAAGTTGTATACCGAATGCGTTGTTGTAATACCCAGTGCGTTTCTATGGCAATCGATTTTGATTATGACGAACTGATTTTCGCTATACCTGGAAAAATATGAAATCGAATCTGCCTGGGGAGTGTATTTCATCTTGTTTTTTGTCTCCGTAGTTTTGATGGGATGCTGCCCGGATCTACCCTGACAAGCAAGGTTGGAAGAGTCTACTTCCCATCTAATCTAAATTGTTTCGGAGGGGGTGTGCAATATATTATTGCTATTATTATTATTATCATCATCATCATCATCATCATCATCATCATCATCATCATCATCATCATCATCATCATC